ATGAGATAGTGATGTTGGATCTCATGATTACTTGATCAAAAGCTCTTATACTATGTAATACAACCAATTCAATACAAAAACTTAAAAGTACTTTTAAGTGATGTTCACATTAATACTTTAATTCATATTAATATCTCTTAACACTTTTTTCCTTGGAAACTGAATTATACCATCTTTTAAAATATTATAGATTGTAGAGAGAGAGAGACTAATATATGTTACCTGGAAGAGGTGGTGCATCTTGAACCACTTGAGGCAAATCAAAATTAATTCCTTTTATTGAAGGATGCTTGGAGATAATCTGTTTTAAGGCTTGTCCTACTCCACCTCCTACATCAACAAGTGTTGATATTCCCTCAAATCCTTTATATAGTCCAAGGCTCCTTTTAATTTCTAATGGACCAGCATGGGCCATTGCCTTGTTGAAAATGTGATTCAGCTCTTTATCTGTCTCCATATATTGATAAGAGGGCATTCCATAAACTTTTTGGAAATGGTTATTGTTGTTAGGGTCCACAATTGCATCCTTCACATCCTTCCTGGGAAGAAACAACACAGAATGATATTAAAAATCTATGATTTGTTACATTGAATACGACCATGTCATGTGAGGCATCTTAACTAATTATTAGTAAATTAAGGGTCACAATTTTAATGACAATGTTGATAAGAAAAAGAAAAAGGGAATGAATATGAGAACATCTATGGGGCAGAACAGATAAGTAATAAATGCTTAATTACCAAATGTCATGATATGCTCTATGCACTAGAGTTGAGAATGGACCCAAAGAGCTTCCATCATTATCAGAAGCAAAGTATTCACCAACGGGTGAGAGAGCATAAACTCTTTCTCTCTTACCATCTTCGTTGGTGCGAATGGAGCAATTCAGAAGAGAATAACTAGCTAGCACAGTTAACATGCGTTCAAGCCTGTTAGCCAATTCTGGGTGTTCATAATTTGGAAGCAGAGAAGCAATCTCAGAAGCAGACAAGCTTGAACCACATGAACTCTGTTTCTTAGCTATGATATCAAACAAGTTGAGATCAACAGCAGCATTTAGGATTGCAGGAAAGATCCTACTAAAACATAGTAACAAAGCAGAGACGTAAGCATCATCAACCTTTGCTACCTCCGTGGGAAGCTCATTCTCTTTAGAATTGGAGCTCATTTTTACTACCCTTTTTTTCTCTGTGTTTTTGTTTGCTATTCACTTCTTTTGTTGTGTACTATCTTCAATTTTTGCATCGTTTATATAGGCATAATATATGCCTCCGTCATATGTAATCATCCCTGGGAATAGTCACTCTTTGGTATTTTTTTAATTATTGTCAACCTCAGTGTAATTGACTATGTTGGGATGACCTTAAGGACGAGCTAGTTTTGTGTATAAATTTAATTGAGTAGGTTTTGACCATGATTGTTAATTTGAATCAATGTTTTATTTCAATATCTTCTATCACAAGTGTTGGACAAAGTTTTGATGATGTCAGAGAGCTTGAAGAAAATTTCAAATTGAAGAAGATCCAAGCTTTGAAGAACTTGCAGTAGCTTCATAGGTTAGGTATTTGTTTTGTAACACCAACTTTTTGTTATCTCATAGTAATCCTTGTTCCAAGTATAAAAATATTCATGCATGAAATTAATCACCTCTCATGAAAAATTAATAAAATAAAAAATTTCAGAAAGGTCTAATTAATTTTTTTTAGGGTTTTGCATTTGTCATTTGCGCTCATTTTCTTTTTTTATTTTAAATATGGTAGACCCCACTTATTGTCTTTATAGCTTGACAAAAAGATTGTTCTACAACATAATACTTGTTTTTTCCTTTTTTTTTTTTTTAATAAAGATAAAATGGACTATTCATACTTAACATTCCGTTACATCATTCTATTTTGTGTGGGTAGTTTATTTTTGGCTTTTAAGCCCACTTGTGATGGGCTCACAAAAGTAAAATAGAATCACCCTCACAGAACCATTTTGACTAGAGCTGCACTTTACCAAACTTCTTTTTTTTCCCCTTCGTATAAAAAGCAAGTCCCATGGGATACAGTTAGAGAGTGTTTGGTAGAGGAGAAAATTTTGTTTGTCTGAGAAATAATTATTACTGAAATGTAGCAGGGAATAAATTTTACTGAAATGTTACTAAAAAGCTGTTTGGTAGACTCATATTTTTCCGGAAAAATGAAGTTAATTTTACTGAGTTTGTGTTTGATTAGTTATGGAATATTAGTGGGATTATACTTGACACTATTTGTTCAGAAATTGTACAAACCAAAGAATAATAATCATACAAATGAAAGGATAAAGTGGTCTATTCCTTGGTGGGTCACTTTTAACTTTGACTGGCAACAAAAAATTCTATCTAATCTATAGCATTCCAATGATACCAACAGTACATAAAATTACACACAAACTATTTTCTGGAAAAAAAATTATCTGAAAAAGTTAGATGTTTTTTATACCAAACATGGTATTGTTATTCTCTCTATGATGCTTTCCAAGGAAACTAAAAAAAAGTCTGGTACCAAACACACCGTCAGGGGCGTTTGTTACGTGGATTTTATTTGGTCTCTAGGAAAGCAAAGTTAGGAAAACTTTTATGCCACGTTTGTATCCAAAATAGGGGAAGTTTCCCGGATTAAAATATTGACTGTTTTATTTCTTTTGTTTGTATAATTACGTACGGCTCAAGAACGGTGATATCCTTCAAATATGTGGAATGAATTTTTCCTGAGGATGCGCAAATAGAACCGTGAAAGAAATGACCAAAATCGCCTCACAAAGCTTCAACATGAAAGCTGGAAGGCTAACAAAAAAAAACACACTGTTGAAAGCATCTCACCCTTATTGACTCCACAGGAAGCAGTGGTGAAGCCAGCAAATTTTATTTATATCTACATATTTAGTGGCAGGGCTACCCCTAAATTTTTTTTCTAAAAATTTTAAATGCATTAAAAAACAAAAAGAATATAAACAAGAAATCAAAAGAAAAAGCTTTAACTTAACATAAAAAATAATAATCAAGAGTCAACTAAACTATCATAATTTCATGCAATGATTATTTTCTAAGATTTTTATTTTTATAGCGATGCAAAATAATCTTGCCCTTTTTTATTATTATTTTGATATAAAATATAATTATATATCACGAGTGAGGGTAAATTTTTTTTACATTATGAGTTGTACAACATTTTATAGAAACTCCGATAAGTTTCAACTTTCAATATTTTTTATTGTAAAGCCAACTTCATACCTAAAAGGTGCATGGCTAGACATGTCCAACATCACATTAGCCAAGAACCAAACGTGCACTCCTTACTTTTCCATAAGTTCTTAACACTAATTTTAACCTTGGCATCTTTTACATTATGAGCTGTTCAAATCACCCCTCGATTCTTGGCAAAAAAAATTTCCTCCCAAAAATTTATGTCTGCAAGTGCCCACACTTGCAACCAAGGTTGTTAAAATCGAGATCTTAAGTAAAATCGGAAGGAGATTAAAAAAACGTAAAATGTAAAATCGTAATGTAAAAAAATCGTAAAAAATCATAAAAAATCGTAAAAATGTAAAAGCGTTTGGAATATTAGTAAAATCGTTTTGGTGAAAAAAATTGTAAAAACATAAAATCATAGTGATAAATCGAGATTTTAACAACAACGCTTGCAACAGTGTGGGTCCGCCGATGACAGTAAGCATGCAACAAAGATACCAACTTTGGTGTCTATGTGAACAACGGCAACAACAATGTCTTCACGGCGGACGCCATCTGAAGTACCACTCGATCGAAGTTTGATGAAAGAGATATTGAAGCGGTTGCTATGAAGAACATCCCAGATTTCAATTCAAGGTGCCTCACGTTTGGTACCCGGATCCGTTTCTTTTCTGTGATTAATAACCCCATTTTTGTAAATGGGGTTATTCTTGTAAAATAACCTCATTTTTCTAGTATTATTTTACAATCAACCAAACAACAATTCAGAAAACTTAATCAAATTATCTCGAAAAAATTTTGGTTAACCAAACGCCTTTTTGTAACTTACCCGGAAAAAATCAGTTCCTACCAATTTTCCCATAATATTTTTTTCTCAGTCAAATTTTTTTTCCTGTACCAAACACCCCCTAGGTAATTAAAATTGAGATTTTATGTAAAATTGAAAAGGGGATAAAAAATCGTAAAATATAAAATGATAACATAAATAATTATAAAAAATCATAAAAATATAAAAACGTTTGGAATATTGGTAAAATCATTTTGGTAAAAAAAATCTTAAAAATATAAAATTATAGTAATAAATCGAGATTTTAACTACTATGTGATACACACAGAGAGACTGACTTACAGCTTTACATAAAAAAATAAAAATAAAAAAATAAAAAATAAAAAAATAAAAAAATAAATTCTCTTCAAGAAACAGAGATAGTGCTTCATTTTCGTGTGAAAAAATCACTGCATATGCGACACAAAAATTCAAGAAATTCTTGTCTTCAAATCACTATCCCTCAATACTTCTTCCTTATTCCTTTGAGAAATCCAAATTTCCCTCACCAAAATCAAAATCTTTGAGACTAAAAGCCTCCAAGCCCTTTCACTAAGAAATTTCTTATGCTTTGGGTAATATAGTGAGTGAGGAAAGTATAGGCTGAAATATCAACTAACATTTGAGTTTTTGTTAGTTTTAATTATTAAAACCTAACCGATTAGTTTTTTGGAAAGGAAATCCTAAAAAAAATTATAGGGACTTTGGTAGGCTTTATACAATATTTGTATTTGATATTGACATTCACTCAGCCTAAACTTTAATTTATAAAGCCAAATAGTTTTTAAAAGTTCCACCTAATGAACAGGGTAAAACAATGTACCATTGCATGATTTATGAAGTTAACGTGAAGTTATTTGACAACACCTGATAATTCCACAAGTCAGATATGGTACCACATTATTAAAATGCATTATATAATAATACAAACAACAAAAATGTTTGAAATTCATGTGCAAGAAAAGAAAGTCTTAGAATAAGATCATGGCAATCGTACAGCTTGGATCTTCACGTTTGGAGGTACAATACATTTGTACAAATCTAATTAGAGGAACTTCCTATATTCCATCGCATCTCTTATCCACAATAGCATGAAATTGACACATTAACATTGATATATATGTACATTTATGAAGAGTACATACTTCTTGAAGACAACCATGAAGTGATACCCTCCCCATGAAAATTGCAGGTTCTAGCAATATCAACAATAATAAAGCTTCAAACTACAGCCAAATGCAGGATAAAAATTTATTTCAAAAATCAAATGGAGTCAATATATTTCAAGGGAAATACTGGGAATGAGAAAAATATTTCTATAAAATCTAAGTGTACCTAAAAAGTATATGGCAGTATTACTTCCAAAGGTATGACTGTCTTTGAAATGCTGGTTGGAAGTCTAAAATGATTTGCACAGACTACAACAAGGTCACAAAGCTTACTTTTTGTGCTGCTTCTGCTGTTGAAAACTCAACATGTCCAAAGCCTCTAAAGTAACCTCCCTTCTTTATCTGTATGGAGACAGACATCAACAATTTCTCCACAATTATTGAAACAATTTCCCCAAAAACAAATTTCAAATGAGCACAATTATACAAAAAATAACTGAGAAGCACCTGCACGAGATGTAATTTATACATATCAGCCCATTCCACATTGTATGACAAGATTCCAGCGTATATTGTCTTCGAAGCAGCATTTTGTTCTTTCAGAGTATCTGGGTTTTAGGCTTCAAAAATTTCAGGAAATAACATATCAGCATCACTGATTTCATATTTTACATAGCAGGAAATAGCATTTCACTCTGAAGCAACAAGCACTGGCTTCTCAAAAGGCTTACCTTCACCTCTTGTTGGCACAATAACCAGGTTACAACTCCAAAGAAGCCATTTCATTCTCAAGCTGAAGAGCCCTAGCGCTGTTACCCTTCCGCATATGGCCGGCAATCAATGTCCTATATATGGTCGCACTTGGGGTTAGCAAACGACCTTTCATAATACTCAGATACTTTTCTGCATCTTCAAGCTTTCCACAATGGCATAAACTCTGAATCACTGATGTGAAAACAGATAATCCAGGACACATAGACCTGTACTCCATTTCATAATACAGCTTAAGAACTTCCTGAACCTCATCCTTTTTGGCATAACCCTGTATCAGATAAGAGTATGTAACATCATTGGGTAAGAACCCTTTATCCAACAACAATGTCAACATGGAATTTGCCTGATCCACATCCCCCCTCTCACATAACCTTTCTACCATCTTATTGAATGACAAACAACTAGGAACAAACCCAATACTCAACATTTTCTCACAAACTCCCAAGCATTCCTCCAATCTTCCCAAATTAGCATATCCAACTATAAGATGATCAAAAGTCTCACCATATGGCTTCAACCTCCTTTCTTCCATTTCTCCCATTAAACCTTCAGCTTCTTCCACTCTCCCCTCCGCAAAGAATGCTCCTATAAACGATGTGTAAACAAAAGAATTTGCCTTGAAACCTCTTGCAATCATCTCTTGATAAAGCTCCCAAGCAGAATCCAAATTCCCTAACTTCACCTTAACGTGGACAATCAGAGAATAAGCAACCAAGTCAGGAATCAAATTCTTTTGCAACATTCTCTTCAACAACACAACCACTTCACTTTCTTCAACTTTTTCCATTTTCCCACTCTCCAAGACCCTGAATATCAAACTTGAATTCACAATCACAGATGGAGAAGAAGAACTCCTCTTCCCCAAAATTTGTTCCAACAAGTCCACAATTCTCAGCAACTCACCATCCTTGCATAGGGCATCAACCATGATCCTCAAAGTCACCACATTCGGGTAAACCCTTTTCCAAATCATGTGCTCGTAAACATTCCAAACCATGTCACAATCACAGCCATCATCAGATTTCAATGATTTCTGCATAACATGAAGCAAAGAGTTGTAACTAACCAAACTAACGGAGAATCCGCGTTCCTCCACGTAAAGACACGTGTCGAAAGCGACACGTGTCATCCTCATCTTGGCATAAGCCTGTATCAACAGATCAAACACCAATGGGTGAGAAGAAGAACCAGAAACAACCTCGTACGTGTCAAGTAGCGAATCCACAACCACACGATCTTCCTTTTCCTTGTTTTTGTTCAAAAGCGATTGGAGCAATGCTTTGGCATCGGTTAACAACATGGCTCTCACCGAAACGTGGATTGCTATGCAATAAGACCGAATCCCATGTTGTTGGAAGCTGTTGCTGTTCCTGTTCTTGGACCAATGGAAGAAACCCAGTGCGCTTTTGGCTTCAATTGGATCCTTAAACTCCAAGAGAACGTGTTCCACCAATGAATCGTTGAATTCGAGAGAACCAAACTTGTTGGTTATGGTGTCCCAATTCCATCTCTTTCTAAACGAATTGCATATTGCAGTAACAATGTTATCATCATGATGATAATGATGATGATGCTGTGTGTGCAAACAATGCAAGTTGCGGAATTGGGGTTTGGGAAAACTAACTCTGTTCAAGAGCTTCAAGGGTTTGGAAAAACCCATTTGGGGGAGAGTGATGATGGGTTCAACGAAAATGAATGTAAAGAGTGGTCACGCGATGTGCACGTGCAATTGGATTTACACTTTGATGTGTTGTGTTGTGTTGCATTTCGACAATTCCGAGGCCTCGTACTATTGTTTTTGTCTGAGGAGTAACATCGTTATCTTGCTTTTGCCAACACGGTCGCTTTGGGAAAACCCATTTTCTTCTTTTAGTGCTTAACAAGGTAATAATACTGATTACTGATTCATAACTTGTGGCTGTTGAATTGTGGGGTTTTCATGTGTACTTAATTTGTGGGGTTTAGTTTTTTTTTTTAATCAGGCTTGCATGATAATGTTGTTGGGATTTTATTTTTATTTATTTTTTTGTTGATTGGACTTTCAATTTGACTTGCTGCATTGTGCAACGAACCATAAAGTGAAACTGGCGATTTCAGAAATGATTGGAGTAATAAGTGGATGAGCACACTGGAAATTGTGTTTGATTCATCACACTCTTTGCTGGTATTTCTGGGCGAGTTGCTGTAAAGAGTTTTAATGTTCATTAGGGAGGTTTTTGAAGTGTAAATTTTGAAAGAACTCAACAAGTTGATTGAAACATTCCATATCTTTTTTTGGCAAATTGGTCTTTTCTTGTTTTGGAGTTTTGATCCTAGGCTACTAGGTAAGTTTTTTTTTTTGTTTTTTGTTTTTAAATAAAAATAAAAATTCAAATGTCTCATTGAAGCTTCTGAGATCTTGGTTGCTAATTTTTTTGTCACATGCCATACTTGGTTGGATTAGTTTAATTAATTTTATGGTTAAGATTTTAAAAGGAAGTTTTAAGCTTCGATTTGTATAATTTCGAGAAGTAACGTGCACAAATGAGTCGGTAGAAGTTTTGTATAATTTCTTCTTGGTGTTTTGGAATTTAGGAAAATCTACCATCTAAACCATAAATTTAGGCTTTCTTAATTTTGGAAATCAAGTTAAAAACCACTTGCTGAAAAATTTGAACTTTGCTATGAATCTAGTGAATTGAATAACCACTTGGACAAACTCAATTGTCTAAGCATATATCAATTTGTTGTTTACGGGTATGTTTCTCCCTTTTTTTTTTTTTTTTTTCTCTCTATTCCTTGCTAAAGCATCAAACTTGGGCAGGTGAAAAAATCAACACATTTTTTTCTGTAGTAATTTTTTTAGTCATTGATTCTAGTTTTCTTACGTAGACTTACAGTCTCCTGCTACCATACTACACTAATTGAAGATGGCGACAACAACATTTGCTGGCATGCAAGTTGCAGTGTCAAGACCATGCATTTCCTCATCAAAAAGGTTTGAAAGTGCAGGTGCTGTTGTTCTTAGTTTCAAGTCGAAGGTGGGATCATGGAGTAAACTTGTGAGTGCATGCCATATTTCCTCAGTACAACCTTTCCAGTGGGGCTTTATGATACAGACCAACCACTAATTAACAGAACTAAAGGAATTAATGCAGTAATTTGGATCTGAATATTATACCTTCATATATTGAAGCACAAACGATTACAAACAGAGACACATTAACAACAACTCTTGCAGTAAATATGAAATTACAGTGACACTAAGAAAAACACAATGCAGGAAAAAGTAAGATAGTGTGGAACACATATGAGAGGTTCCACTCTCTCCCAATCCCAAAAAAGGCCCAAGCAATTTCCAAAGATTCCAGATACCCTCACTCTTCTCCTTCCTTGCTATTTAACCATCTCAACCTCCCTTCTCACGCCATTCTGTTGAAACTGATTTGTTGAGTCAGCAAAGGTTGGGCCCACATTATTTTAATCCTTCCTATACATACATGATCTTGGGCCAGATCGTATCACTTTACCTCTTCCATAAAATTTGACAAAATGATTACAAAGGCAATGGCCGAGTCTAGTGAAAAAGATTTGAAATGTTATTGATTCTTTTCTCTAAAACTCTTGGTTCATATTAACAGAATCCAAAGAACTCATGAGAAGAGTGATTATCTTGATGGGAAAAGAAAATGCTTATTCAACTATTCACAAACTCTGATATGGTACCTATATACACATTCAGGGTCAAACTAACTAACATTAAAACCTAACTAAGTTAGTTACAACAGACTAACAAACTGACATAAAGGGTATAATACACGTGTATGCTGTATCAACATAATAATATATCTCAATATCCCCCCTCATGTTGGCATATGGATATCCATAAGACCCAACTTGTCAACAAGTCCTTTGAAGATGCGAGGAGGTAATGCTTTGGTGAAAGAATCAGCCAATTGTTCTGCTGAAGATATAGGCAACAAATGAATCAAACCATTATTAATTTTCTCCCTAACAATGTGACAATCTATCTCTATATGTTTTGATCTTTCATGGAAACTAGGATTGTGTGCCAAGTAGATTGCTGAGCGATTATCACAAAATACTGCAATCGGTTTTGCCATTTCAACATCTAAATCAGTAAGCATGTATTTCATCCATTGCAATTCACATGTCAAGCTTGCCAAGGCTCTATATTCTGCCTCTGAGGATGATCTAGAGACTGTGCTTTGCTTCTTGGATCTCCACCCAATCAATGAAGAACCAAGAAAGATGCAATACCCAGTGATGGAACGCCTAGTGTCCGGACATGTTGCCCAATCCGAGTCTGCAAAAGCACTGAGTTTGAGTTCACTATCAGCTGAAAAGAAAAGGCCACGACCAGGATTTCCTTTGAGATACTTCAGCACTCTGAGGGCAGCTTGCATGTGAAGCTCTGTAGGAGAACTGACATATTGACTTAATTGTTGAATTGCATAACAAATGTCTGGTCTAGTTGTTGTTAAGTACAATAATCTTCCCACTAGACGTCTATAGCTTCCAGCATCCAAGCAAGGTTCTCCTTTGTCTCGTTCCAACTTAACACCTGAGTCCATGGGAGTTGAAACAGGTTTAGCTCCCAAAAGACCACCATCAGCTACTAATTCCAAAGCATACTTTCTTTGATTCATTACTAACCCTTCCTTAGATCGGCTAATTTCTAAGCAAGGAAATAGTGCAGTTCCCCTAAATCCTTGATGTGAAACCGACTATCAAGAAATTGTTTTACTGAGATGATCTCTTGCATGTCATTACCAACTAATACCACATCATCAACATAAATCAAAAGGGCTGTAAATGAATTCTCCCTTTTCTTGATCAGAAGGGAATGATCTGCTTCAGACTGTTTGTAGCCAATAGACAGCAATGCAGAAGTGAGCTTGGAGTACCATTGCCTACTAGCTTGCTTTAATCCATATAGAGATTTTTGTAGTTTGCAAACCTGGTTAGGCTTTGAACAACTAATTCCAGGTGGCAAAGTCATGTAAACTTCCTCACTCAAGTCACCATGGAGGAAGGCATTGTTAACATCCAACTGCTCCAAGATCCATCCATTTGATGTAGCAACTCCAAGAAGTGTACGAATGGTTGTGATCTTTGCAACAGGTGAGAATGTGTCCAGAAAGTCTACTCCTTCAAGCTGAGTATATCCCTTTGCAACTAGGCGGGCTTTGTAACGTTCAACACTCCCATCAGCATGATATTTGACTTTATACACCCACTTGCATCCAATGGGGTGCTTATCAAGAGGCAAATCAGTAAGAGACCATGTATTATTTTGTTCCAAAGCTGATATTTCAGCATTCATTGCATCACGCCAGCATTGTTCCTTGACTGCTTCTGAGAACAATTGAGGTTCAACTATGGATTGAAGATTGAAGCATAAAGTCTGATGTTGAGAGGAACAATTATTATAACTCAAAACTGAAGACAAAGGATATGTTGATTGTGAAGTGAGAGAGCAATGGAAATCCTTCAGGTATATTGGAGGTTGTCTAGTTCGGTTAGATTTTCTGGGTATATTAGCTGGTAAAATTGGTTCATGTGTGTTCTGTGGTAAAGGTTGATCTGCAGATGAATGAGTTGTAAGATTTGGCAAGGATGGTGCATTGGATGGATAAGTTGTGAGGTCACGGGTATGTTCATTAGGTGTAATAGGAGAGGTTGCAGTAGGTTCATTAATGTGAAAGGATAGGTTTGGTGAAGTGGGTGGTGAAGTAGGTGGGCTGACATGTGAGTCTACAATAAGGAATGGGTCATCAGATAAAGGATGAGTAGCTATAGGAATGGATGAGGCAAAATCAGAATCAGATACGCTCACATGTGTGAAAAATGGAAAAGTGCTTTCATGAAAAACTACATTTCTAGATAGAAATACCTCTCTAGAAGTCAAATCATACAGTACATATCCCTTTGTTCCTTCTCTATGACCAAGTAAAATGCATTTTCTAGCACGGGGGCTGAATTTTTGCCTGTTGGATACAAGGGTGCTAGCAAAGCAAAGACAACCAAACACCTTTAGATGGATCAGAATAGGTGGAGTGCTATATAATAGCTCATAAGGGGAACTGTTCTTCAAGGTAGGACTGCTCAGCCTATTTATTAAATGGACTGCATGCAATACCGAAAAAGACCAAAATTGAAGAGGTAGATTGGACTGGAACATTAATGCTCTGGCTGTGTTAAGGAGATGTTGATGTTTTCTCTTCACTACACCATTTTGCTGTGGGCATTCTACACAAGTGGTTTGATGAATGATGCCTTTGTGAGAATAAAATTTAGGCATTAAAAATTCAGCACCATTATCACTCCTAATTATTTTGACATGTGTGTCAAATTGATTTTCAACTAGTGACACAAAACTTTTCAAATGACCTCGAGCTTCTCCTTTATTTTTCATCAAAAGCACCCAAGTAAACCTTGAGAAATCATCTACTACAGTCAAGAAGTATTTATGTCCAGTAAATGAAGCAGTGGAAAATGGCCCCCAAATGTCTACATGAATAAGATCAAATGCTTTAGAGGAAACAGTACTACTCAAATCATATGGAAGTCTCTTTTGTTTTGCCAAGTGGCATACATCACAGGGAGTACATTGTTTATTCTGTGGAATGAAAGGAAATTTAGTACACATCACTTTCATTACTGAGTCTGAAGTATGTCCTAATCTTAGGTGCCATAGCATAGTATCATCTCTAACAGTATTATTTGCAGAAGCATGGTCACGGACAACATTCACATCTTTATCCTTCCTGTTAAATGACTCCAAAAGGAAGAGTCCATTGCACAATCTAGCTGTACCAATCACTCGTTGTGACCTGATCTGTTTAATACATCATGTACAATCATAGAAGATGAGCTCACAGTCAAGAAACTGAACCAGCTTTACCACTGATATCAAATTAACGCAAAACTCTGGTACATATAGTACACCATTTAAAAACAAGTTTGGACACAGTTCAATAGAACCTGACTGAAGCGCAATTACTTTAGAACCATTGGGTAATGTGATAGAAATGGGTTTGATCTCATGCAAATTAATAAAGTGTGATGACACACATGATATGTGATCTGTTGCACCCGTGTCAAGGATCCAATGAAAAGATTCCTTACCAGAAACTTGAGAACTAGCAGGAGTAGCAAAGGCAGTGGACGATGTGGTATGAATCATATTGACAGCAGCATTGGAGTTTTCTTCTCCATTCTGGATCTTAACTTGCTGAAGCATGTCCATCATGTTCTTGTATTGTTGCTGTGAAATGACCACTGCATCATTTTTGTCTGTCACCACAGCTTCATCGTTCAAAACAGCATTGGCAGAAACATTTCTAGGCTTTGGTTTATATCCTGGTGGATATCCATGCTTTGCATAGCATGTGTCCACTGTATGGTTGGTTCTTCCACAATAGGTACAAAGTTTGGTACCTCTAGGCTTCATGCCTCTGCCTCTGCCAAAGTTTCCATTGTGTCCACGACGCTGACCAGCAGGATATGCTCTTGATTCTACAACAAAGTCACCATGCATTTCATAGTTTAGTTGACGTTCCTGCTGTGCAACAAGTGAATATGCTCTATTCATGTTTGGAAGCGGTTCAATCAGCATGACTTGTGATCGTATGTGAGAGTATTGGTCACTGAGACCTTTCAGAAAACGAATGACTTGATCACGCTCCCTGTTTCGTCTTATTTCATCTAAAGCTCCACAGTAGCAGCTTGGAAGTGGATTTAGGTTGTCCAATTCATCCCATAGCGTCTTCATCTCCGTGAAATAATCACTCACGGATCTATCTCCCTGTTGCAGTCGATGAATATCCTCTTGTAGATCTGCAATTCTGAAGACGTCAGCTTGTGAAAAACGCTCGCGAAGATCACGCCATACATCAGAAGCTCGTTCAATCCATAAAATGGATTTGGAGATTGATTCATCAATGGAGCGGTGAATCCATGACAACACCGTAGTGTTGCATCTCTCCCAGGCTGGATAGAGAGGATCATGAACATCTGGTGGAACAAAACTTCCATCTACGAAGCATATCTTGTTTTTCGAGAGCAGTGCCATTTTCATGGCTCGCAGCCAAGTGTGGTAGTTACAGCCAGTGAGAGGAGGAGAAACGAGAACCATGGATGGATTCTCATTAGGATGAAGATATAACGAGTTCGATGGATTGGAGAGATGATCTGGAAGAGGGTTATGGTTCGCCATTGAAAGAGAAACAGAGACGAAATGCAAACGAATTGCAGAGAAATTGTCTCACAGAGACTGAGAACTTTTCAGAGAAACGAAAAGAAAGAATCATAGCGATACCAGAGAGATCTCTGATACCATAACATAATCCAAAGAACTCATGAAAAGAGTGATTATCTTGATGGGAAAAGAAAATGCTTATTCAACTATTCACAAACTCTGATATGGTACCTGTTCCGGATGGCTTAACCACATCCGAAGCCCAAGGGCCTTGTAACAGATGGCCCAGTTTCACAGAGCCCCAAACAGCCTGAGCCCAGTACCCCAAGTTATATGCACGTCAGCCCTACCAGTTGGCCCTAGACGCATGCCCCAAGGCAGCTCGCCTCCCAAGGTAAGACACCAAAATGTCTTATCTTGGAACCCCATATGCTCTGCGGATCGCCCAGAGACCATAAGTGGAAACCGCCCTGCTGCCGCATGCTGACATCGCCCAAGAGCAGACCCTGCATCGCTACAGCGCCAGGCGTGTCATCTCCTCACAACGAATCCCAAGGAGCGTTGACCTCCAATACGTAAGCCCTAACGGATTAAACTCCTGGACTCCTATAAATACCACCCTTGGGCACAAGGGAAAGGGCTACCTTTTATGTACTGTTATTATGCCCATTTACTTCTCAGTTATACACTTACTATCTGTCTGTCATTAATATCAGCTTGCTACCTCTTGGAATATTACCTCCTAGCCTAGTCTTTACCTCAGCTAGAGGTATAATCCATATAGTGACATTACCCTCAAGGGTACATAGTGGGCTCGTTGTATCGAACGGTACATTGGCGCCGTCTGTGGGGACTATAAACTTCTATTCCCATTCTCCTACCACTAAATACGCAAGACACTTACCATTTACAGACCAACATGGTAGTCACAACAAGACGAGCAGAACAAGTGCGAGCAGCCACTCCGGAAGGGCACGTGCGAACTATGCGCTCCAACTCCCCTCCTTCTATGCACTCAATCCCAGCTGGGCGGGAAGCGGCAGATGCTCTGCTTCCGGTGCTACAACCTGCAGACCCCCAGGCACCAGCGGAAGGTCTCAGAGCAACATTCCCGAATCATCAAGTTCCAATACAAGAAATCCAAGGAGAAAACTGGTTTGAAAACCAACCCCCACCCCCTGGTGTCCAATTTGGAATGCCTTTCCCAACCACCCGTCGTGTCCATCCGGCGCAAAGCCAACCCGTAGCACTATATAATGACCATCGAGTCCCAACACACCATCAGAGACCTTGTATGAATAATGTGGCCGCTCCTTTCCCCCCACCTTTTCCAAATGGTTACCCGTTTCAAGGATATCCTTTCCACCCTCATAACGCGGCCATCCCCCAACCGCAGGGATCAGTCGTGAACCTTGGCCAACCCCGTTTTGAAGCCCGCCAAGTCCCAGCTATCTCGTACTCAGTCGAGGCGCCTCAGGAACCTCGCCCTCCACCATACTTACAAGCCCGTAACCCATACTTGCAAACAACCCCTCCGAACACCTCAGGGCGTAACAAACCCCTGACAGATAGCCTACGCCTCACTCCTATTCCCCTTGGCTATAAGGGACCATCCAACATCGTCACGTACGTAGGTGACGCTGATCCGTTCGAATGGATACAAAAGTTTGAAGCGGCAATGACCCTTCATGGTGAAACAGACCTCCTGATGTGCAGAACCTTCCCAACGCTCTTGGGCGGAAGAGCGTTAACTTGGTATACCACCTTACCAACGGGCAGTGTAGCATCCTGGGATGACCTGGCAAGGAAATTCCAGACCCATTTTGCCACTAGTCGCCCTGTGCCGAAGTCTGTCCATGCCTTGGAGAAAGTACGCCAGCAATCCGGGGAAACTCTTAGGTCATTTCTCGACCGTTTTGACAAAGAAGCCCTACAGGTACAAGGGCTAGACCCAAAGGTGCAGTTGCACATACTTTTATCTGGATTGCGTGAAGGAGCGTTCGCCTATGAGCTTGCTCGTCATGAGATTTTGGATCTTGAAGAAGTCAAGCGTAAAGCTCAAGAGTTTATGCGAATCGAAGAGTACAAAGGAAGTCGAACAAGCGACAGTCACCGCCAAGGAAACAGAGAGTTGAAGAATAGTGACCATGCTGAGGAACGTAGAAAGAGTCGCAAACCCGCCAAGTATGTTAGTCGCCAACAAGGGAGAGACATGGTTGGACGTCATACACATAGCGTCCTTCAGACCGAGTACAAGGAGGACCGCAAAGACAGCCCAAGGCGTCAGGGGCAATCGTGGGAAAATGTTGTATACTACAAATTCCACCGCAGTAACGGCCATAGTACTGAGGAGTGCAGACATCTGAAGGATGAAATCGATGAGATCATTAACAGTAGAGGTCAAAGAAACACCGGAAGCAGCTCCCGAATCCCAGGAAACAACAGGCGGTATCGAGAGCATAGTTGGTCACCAGATCGAAGAAGGAGCACCCAGCCCAAGTACCAAACTCGTCGCGGGCGGGATCGCAGGGAGAGGTCTCCCCCAATCCGTAAGGCCCATGACAACCAGAGCAGTAGAGAAAGGCGTGACGGAGGAGACGAAGATTCAGCAGCCATAAAACATGGAGTGATAAATATGATCTCTGGAGGGCTGGGTGGCGGTGGAGTAACAGTTAATTCCAGAAAGAGACACTTGAAGCAGTGCCTAGCAGTGGCAGGAAAGACCATCAGCAAAACGAGCACAGATGCAGGTCAGGCCAAACCCAAAATCGTCTGGGACTTCAACGATTTGGGCGATATTCTACCTGGCCATGATGACCCCTTGGTCATCCAAGCAATCATTGCCAACTGGAGCGTCAACCGCGTATTCGTGGATCATGGCAGTTCTGCTGACATTTTGTTTTTGCCTTGTCTTAAAGCTTTGGGTTTTGCTGTCAATAACTTAACACCAGTGGCAGGTGAACTTGCACGGTTTAACGGCACAACCACCAAACCTTTGGGATTGATAAACTTACGATTATCTCTGGGAACGCCACCTACCTCAAAGTCAGCCGACATTCAATTCCTGGTGCTGGATACCCAATCAGCTTACAACGTAATTCTCGGCAGGCGAATGTTTGCCACTTTCGAAGCAAGTGTGTCGCACCCGCACTTGGCAATGAAGTTTGTGGCAAGAGACAACAAGGTGGCGACAGTAAGAGGCGATCAAACGGTAGCAAGGAGCTGCTACAACATCCCCATGAAACCAGCACCAAAAGTCACTTTGAAAGCCCAGCCAGCACCCCATATGGCGAGAACCCAGGTAACAACTGATGCCCTCACTGGAAAGGGTGACGAACTTGACCAGTGTCTTCTTGTAGAGTTTGATGCACGAGACGACCCTCGGATGGAACATTCCAGGCCCACACCAGACGGAGCTCTAGAGCACGTAGTGCTGGGCGAGAAGGACCAAACGACAACCATTGGGGTGTTCACCAACCCGGAGCTGAAAAGCAGGTTGATCAAACTCCTACGAGACAACAAGGACCTGTTCGCGTGGAAGCCATCTGACATGCCCGGCATAGACCCGGAAGTATGTTGCCACAGATTGTCAGTAGACCCCCAAGCAAAGCCCGTTTCGCAGAAGAAGAGGAAGTTTGGCCCTGATCGCCAAAATATCATTGACGAAGAGGTAAAGAGACTCTGGGATGCCGGTTTCATCCGAGAAATTAAATATACTACGTGGCTCTCAAACCCCGTACTAGTCAAAAAACCTAGTGGGGCGTGGAGAATGTGCATTGATTACACCGACCTCAACAAGATGTGCCCATAGGATGCCTATCCTTTCCCAAGCATTGACCAGCTCGTTGATAACTCCTTAGGATTCAAGGTGCTTTCATTCATGGATGCATACTCAGGCTATAATCAGATCCCATTGTTAAAAGAAGACCAGGACAAAACGGCGTTCGTCACACAGACTGCTAATTACTGTTACACCATGATGCCGTTCGGATTGAAAAACGCCGGTGCCACTTACCAACGAATGATGAATGAAGTTTTCAAAGACTTGATTGGTGACAGCATTGAAGTCTATATAGACGATATGATCGCTAAGTCACAAACTCCAGAACAGCACTTGACACATCTCCAAGGCGTGTTCAATAGGTTGAGAAAATACAACATGCGGCTCAACCCAAGCAAATGCGCCTTCAGAGTTCCAGCAGGGAAGTTCTTAGGCTTTATGCTGACTGAAAGAGGTATTGAAGTTAATCCTGACAAATGCAAGGCGATCATTAACATGAGAAGTCCCCAGACGGTTAAAGAAGTGCAGCAGTTGACCGGAAGGATAGTCGCACTTACTCGTTTCTTAGCAAATTCTGCCTATAAGTCCCTTCCGTTGTTTAGCCTGCTCAAGAAGGGCCGCTCTTTTCAATGGACTGATGATTGTGAGAAAGCGTTCCAAGAATTCAAAAGAGCGCTGTCATGCCCGCCTGTCTTAACAAAGCCAGACATTGGAGAGATCCTTTATTTATATCTCGCCGTTGGCGTAGAAGCCATCAGTGCCGCCTTGGTCAGAGAGCAGAACGGAGAAGCACAGAAACCAGTGTATTTCATTAGCAAAGTCCTGCAGGGCGCGGAGCTCAGGTATCAGCAGGTTGAAAAGGTTATTCTCACACTCATCTTTGCTGCGAGAAGACTTAGGCCATACTTCCAATGTCACCCAATCACGGTTAGAACCAATCAACCCATCCGCCAAGTATTACAAAAGCCTGATCTAGCGGGCCGGATGATGTCTTGGGCGATTGAACTGTCAGAATACCAAATCAATTATGAACCAAGAACAGCCATCAAAGCACAAGCCCTCACAGATTTCATTGCTGAGATGACCCATACCCCTGCAAACGACAATCAGTTGGGGGAAACCCCGGCGACATGGAAACTGTTCGTGGATGGATCAACCAACGCCAAAGGGTCAGGAGCCGGTTTGATCGTGGAAAATCCTGATGGTGTGGCGATGGAGCATTCTTTGACCTTCGACTTCAGTACGACTAATAATCAAGCAGAGTATGAGGCTTTGATAGCCGGTTTAATTCAAGCCAGAGAACTGGGAGCCCAACATCTCAAGGTTTTTAGTGACTCACAGCTGGTGACCTGTCAAATTTCCGGCGAATATCAAGCGAAAGGTCCCCTGATGTGCAAATACTTAGAAAGAGTCAAAGATATAATGGAGACATTCATGACAGTCAAGGTGGAGCACATTAGGCGGGGAGAGAACACCCGGGCCGACATACTCGCCAAATTGGCCAGTACCAAGAGTCCAGGTAATAACCGTTCGGTCATCCAGCATAACCTACAAAAGCCATGCGTTGTAATGAGTATAACGGGAGAAACGGAGGAAATCGCAGCTGATACCTGGATCACTCCAATCGTTAACTACCTTTTAGAAGGTACCCTCCCGCCAGATGTGAAAGAAGCGAAGAAGATCGCCAGAAGGAGTGCTCACTTCTGCCTGGTGAATGGCCGGTTATATAAAAGAGGTCTCTCAACCCCACTGTTGAAATGTTTAAACCCAGGAGACGTGGGCTATGTGTTAGAGGAAATCCACGAAGGAATTAACGGCCACCACATAGGTGGACATTCTCTAGCAAGGAAAGCGTTGAGAGCCGGATTCTACTGGCCGACCATGGAGCGAGACGCTTATAACCACGTCAAGAAGTGCGATAAGTGCCAACGTTTCGCGGATGTACATAGAGCCCCACCAGAGGAGTTGACCTCGATAACATCGCCTTGGCCTTTTCACAAATGGGGAATGGACATTCTTGGACCTTTCCCAAAAGCCACGGGGCGTATACAGTGGCTAATTGTTGCCATAGACTACTTCACCAAGTGGGTAGAAGCCGAGGCAGTTGCGACCATCACTTCTCAGAATGTCAGGAAGTTTTTTTGGAGAAACGTTGTCTATCGTTTTGGCATCCCGGGAGAGGTTATTACAGATAATGGTATCCAGTTTACCGATTCTAAGTTCAGAGAATTGATGACGAACCTTCAAATTCGGCACCACTTTGCAGCCGTGGAACATCCTCAATCTAATGGGTTAGTCGAGTCAGCTAACAAGATGCTGTCCAAAGGAATAAAAAAGAAGTTAACCTCCCATAAAGGAGCCTGGCTTGAGAACCTCCATGGCGTGTTGTGGGGATATCGAACAACTGCCCAATCCAGTACTGGAGAGACCCCTTTCCGTCTGACTTATGGTTCAGAGGCTATGATACCAGTCGAGATCGGTGAACCTTCATGGAGAAAGGAGCAAGTAGCAGAGGTAACTAACAGTCAGGGTCTCAAAGAAACACTTGATTTAATCGAAGAAATCCGAGAACGGGCAGCGCAATCTGATCGCTAGTCGAAAGAAAGGTCAGCCAGCC